AGGAACTGTTTGTAATTACAGTGGCTGAGAATAGCAGAGTCTACATTTCATACTGAAATTTACTAACCAATGTTGACTAAAATAAGAATACTATTGTATTATTATTTCAAATGAAAATACATGTGTATTCATTTGTTCATAAAATAAACCTTATTAATACTGTAAATACACACAAAAAAATTTAGATTAAGAACTTGTCAATAATTATCTCATGGGTTAGAACCTGGCCATGGCAACAAGAAGTGCCCCACATAAGACTCCTTAAGTACAAAGTGCTTTACCTGCTAGAAATCACATCTTCACATTCTATCCATTTCGGGGGAAAGAAGAAGGGAGGAATGAGGAGGAAGGAACATGAGACAGAATATATGTTCAGTACTAACTGAATGACCTGTAGGAAGTCAGAAACTGCAGAAGGAGATGGCAGGGTGATGATGAAAAACATAAGGACTTAAGAAAGATGAGAAGCCATGGAACAAGGAGGGCCAGGCAAAGAAGCAGCAGCCACAGCAACCATTTTGCACTTCATTAAGGTCATTCTGAATGCAGGATCCTGTATTCAATGTTTCCCACATGGTATGAAAATTATTTGTATTTGTAGAAATGCCAACCATTTTGTTTTTAAAAGTAAACAATTTGTAAACAAGTCAAGGCAAGTTACCAAGGTAGGGGGGAACACATGGTTGAGAGGAAAAACATGGAAAACAAATCCAGGATTCTGTTATTCAGCTTTGTACGTCAGTTTAACGAGAGCTATCAATCTTTCTTTTCATGAACGCCAAACAAAGAAGGAAGAAATACAGATTTGTCTTCATACCCAGGAGCTAGAACTTCAAATCCTGCAAACCTGAACTGACAATCTGAAGCCTCTGTAGTTCCCGAAGGACCGCATGCGTTTTATTCCAGACCTTTGTCTTCATTTCTAATCATTTTGCTTTACGGCTGTTTTGACAAGTACTGATGGAGTGGCGTCGTCCAGGTGCTTGCCTTTCAGAGGCAAGGGTGACAACCACACTTTAATCTCTAAATCTTTCCAAATAACTCATTTTTTTCCATAAAGCTGGTGTTCAATAGCAGTGATACTACTGCAGAATCTTGAGAGGCAAAAAAACCAAACTCAAAACTCTCATATTTCTTGATAGTTCAACTTTTTCTTCTTCACTTTTAAGATCTTCCTGAACCAAATGTGTATCTTTTTATTCAGCTGTTGCCCCTTATCCATGGGAAGTGGAGATACAATCCAAGACTCTCAGTGGCTGCCTGAAACTGCAGCTAGCATTGAAGTCTATGTATATGTCTTTTTCTACAAATACATACCATGATAAAGTCAAAGTTATAAGTTAGTTCTGTAAGAAATTAATAATGACTAGCAATAAAATAGAGCCATTACAATGATATGCTAAAATAAAAATTGAAAACATGTAGTGTTTCTTTCTGGGATTTTTCTATTCAACATTGTTGGACCATAGTAGTCTTCAGGTAACTGAAATACCCCTGTGAAACCACAGGTATTATCGAAAACAAAACATTAACATATGGCTTGCCCTTTTACACAGCTAGTGACTTGCTAAAGAAATGGTCATTCATTCAACAAATATTTATCACATGGCTATTCTTATGAGTCAGGCTTGTTTTAGAACATTGCTAATTCTGAGCAAGCCAGGAAACACCAATGCCTCGCCAAGGTTTCACCATAAAGAGCTGGAGACAGGATTATCTTCCTGTGATAAGAGCCATGGAGGAAATGTGTGGCACCCATGAAAGACAAGGGCTGGCAATGGAAGGACACTTCAGGGGGGTGACAAGGGATCTCACTACGTAGGTGGCAATGAGTTGATCCTTGAAAGGCAAGGAGCCACATGGGGAAGTGGCGTTTTTGCAGAACAAATGAAATTTGTAAAGGGGCAGCTGGGGCAGGAATGGATGCGGCAGGAAGGAACATAAAGGAAATGAGCACGGCCAGGCATGGAAGCACAGAGCTGCATGCCAGAAGATGGAAAAAATGGGTACGACAAGGTCTTCCAGGTCATAGCAAGGAACAAGGTTATAGTCTGACATGGGAAACTAATGAAAGTCCTTGAGCAACTGGATTACAATATCCAATGTCCATTGTGGGAGATACTAATCTGCTTCTCAAGGAAAGGTTTGGAAGAAAGCTAGGGCAGACAGAGGGAGACACAATGGAGGGCACTGTAGTGTAGGCAGGACAGGATGGTGATGAGCTTCAGTGATGTCAACGGAGGTTCTATTTTGAGTTTGAAAATATAGAATTGGCTGATAAATTGGATCAACGAAGAGAATCAAAGAATACCTTTCCAGGAAATTACTTTCAAGTAAACCTACTTCTGACCTGTTACATAGCTAAAATATAAGAGCTTATTTTCATATTACATTTAGAAAAAAATGTTCCAAATAGGAAAATATCTCTAACTAAATTACACACATAGTCCGCCATCCATATACGTGTTTGCAAAATCCACATATTCAACAAACTATGGACCAAAAATATTTAAAAAGATCATTGTATCTGTACTGAACATGTACAGACTATTTTCCTTGCCATTATTCCCTAAACTGTAAAATATTTATTTACATACCACTTCCATGTATTAGATATTATAAATAATCTAGAGATGATTTAAAATATATGGGAAGAGGTAAATAAGTTACATACAAATACTCTGCCTCTTTATATATGGGGTTTGAACAGTCCTAGCATTCATGAAGGTTCTGGAACAAATCCCTCAGAGACACCGAGGGCCAACTGTACAGAGAATATACCCTATGTAGTACTCAAGTCAATTAAAAAAGTTTCGAGAAAATATTAAAACAGACTGATAAGCTTATAAATATACTTTGGCATGTATAATGCATATACTATATGCTTATGATAGGTTACAAAGCTTTAAGAAAAAATACTGTATTTCAAATCCCCTCTTTGATCTTTATATAAATAAAGTGATTTGAAGAATGAGTCTAAGATCCCCTGGTACTTAGAAGAAACATTCTGGAAATGTGAATTTATTGACATATTATTTGCCATATTCAATTCTTTTAACAATTGTTATAGTCAAGTCTACAGGTTATCCAAGTACTTTTAACCTTTCTGGGTGGTTCTGGACTATTTAATGATGAAATACTAACAGGAACAATAGAAGATTTTTAAAGGCTCTGTAAAATTTGTCACGTATTATCGATTAGGCTGAGTAAAGGAAAACAATAAAAAAATCAATTGCTGAAAGAACCAAAAACATCTAAATTCAAATGATAAAAATGTTCTTCCATCTGACTACCCCCTAGCTGTCACACTGTGTGTGATTAAGGCTAAAATGTTACAATAATAATTATGACACACTCAGGTGTATAATTCTGCTTCATGCTGAGCTCCTTGGTTTTTCATGTGAAGACTGGCATAACATCAACCGTCTCCCACACTTTCTATGAGGATGACCTGTAATGAATGCAAAGTGCCTACAACAGTGCCTTAGCTACCATGCATGCTCACATAGGACAGGTACTGTCTTCAGGAAAATCTGAGTACAGATAATCCTAACAGAATCTGCTTTGGATATGACTTCCAATTTTTTTTAATAAAATTAAGCATACCTAAAGTAGAAAATCAGAAATGCAAAAGTGTTCCAAAATCTGAAACATTTTGGGTACTTACGCAATACTCAAAAAATTTAGAATTCTGGAGCATTTCTGACTGTGAAGATTAGGACTAAGGATGCTTAACCAGGAAAGTCAATGCAAATATTCCCAAGTCTGAGAAAGTCTGAAATCTGAAATCTAAAACACTTCTGGTCCCAAGTATTTCCAAAAGGGAATACTCAACCAATAAAGAATTTATACTGCAGTAGTAACTTCAAATGCACAAGTATCAGGATTAACACTATAAAGTGAGTTTCTCATCCTGTTGTTCCTTGAATTGAGTAACAGCTGAACTATGCCATCTCGGGATGGTTAGGCTGCTGAACCAATCAAAGCCCACCTTCAATTGGCCTATTTAGCCTAATCTTCTTGCACTTTCTTTGTTCTGGGAAGACAGTTGTCATATTTTTATGACTCTATTTCTCAAATTAGTTCCAATGTACGTAGCATCAGCATGAGGCCAGTGTCTTAGTCATCTTTATATTCAAAATGGCTAGCATAAGCCTGGCACAAGGAGTTGCTGGATAAAGGAACGAATGCCCAGTGACTCTGCTCATCAAATTCCCCAAACTGAGAATATGATTTTAAATCAAATTGATTCCAATAATTTCTTGGAAACTATGCTTAGGTTTTATTTTACTTAAACGTACTCATATTTTTAATCACAACAAATTTAACTACTCCTGTCAGTCAGTACTCTGACTGAATGTATGCCAACCTGAGCATGCCTATCCTGAAGATCCAAAGTCCAAAACCTTTTGAGCATGAGATGATGCTTCACGTAGAAAATTCTATTCCATGAAACTTTGTTTCATGCTCAAAATTATTGAATAAATTGTATAAAACTACCTTCAGGCATGGAGTTTAGACTTAGAGCCCATGCCCAGATATTTCATTATAGATATGATCTATTCCAAAATCCAAAAAAGTCTGGAATCTAATCCAAAACACTTTTGGTCCCAAGTATTTCAGATAAGGGAGATTCAAACCATAATGAAAAATGCAAACACATAGGAAGAACTGGCAAGTTATCTATATTACCTCACCAATTGGGGATCCCTAAGGGCAAGGTTTGAGTATCAGAAACAGATTTCGATGGCTCATGAGGTAGAAACCAGTGGATTCTGTTGAGAATTCACTCTGCTTTCCAAACCAGTGGTAAGTCCCTGTTGCATTACTTGAAATAATATCTGTGCCTGGAAGCATTTATAAATCCTTAAAAATCTCTCTCTACTGTAAGATGAAATCTAACATCTTAAGGGGAAAAAATCAAAATTTAAACCTAATTGTTTTGATAATGGAATAAAGTTTTATCCAGTAACAAAATCTAAGAGGAGCAGAAAAGATACCTTCAAGCAGTTTTTTCTCTGAAGAGACTTTAGAAGCAGCAGCAGGAGCCTGATACAAGAAGTCACAGAGGAACACGGACTGGGTGGCATCTTGATTTAACCCACCCTCGGAATGAATGTCATGTTGAGGGAAATCTAGAAAAATTAAAGAAACAATACCTTGGAAATCCAAAATGCAAATAACTTCCCTTTGTTTATGAATATTTAGATGAGTTTTGAGCTAGAAGAAAAATGACTTCAAATTTACCCCTGAATAAATGCAGAGCAATTTATTTTACTTTGCATAAAATTTGCAAATAAGCACTTAAGTCATACTTGTTATTCATATATGAAAAATCGGATTTAATTTTGGTGAAAATGATTATGTGGGATTAACTATTTTCATCTCACATTTATGAGATTAAAGAAATTTAAAAAAAATACATTTCCTCAACTTTTTCTTGAAATGGGGTAACAGAATATTTTGGTAATTACATTTTTCTTCCTTCTAATTTTTTTTATTTTTTAAGTTGAGAAATAAACAGATTTGTGCTTTCATCCTTTAAGGGATACATCAGAAGAAAGTGGGTTAATTTAGGGTAAGGGACAAACCTGAGAATTTGTTATGATAGAGAAATTCCATTTGCAGACTCTGCCCAGCCTTCTTGGCCAGGAGATAGGGGGTGCTATGTACGGGGTCTCCAGTCGCACACATGACATCAGCTCCACTGAACAGTAAAGCCATCGTTTCCAGCACGTCTGGTTTCACTACAGCAGCACACAGAGCCTAGCCATGAAAAGAAAATATACCTTTTAAGGGAAGTAAATATGATGCTACTTATTACAATGAATGAAAGTCTCACTATTCATTTATGAGATGAAGATTTTATTCAGTGTTCCCTGAGGCAGCTAATAATAACTAAGCTCTGAATTAGGCAATAGGCACAAAATGCCTGCTTTGTATGGATTTAAATTACAACCTAAGACCTCTGCATCTCAGTTCGCTCCTCTGTTGCTGTGATTTTCTCCTTCCAAATCTTCTCATCCATCATAGCTGCTTTGGAAGACATTTTTATGCCTACCTATTCTATTGTGGTTGACAATAAGAAAATTCAAAACCTTTCAAATGTAATAATGAAGTAGCCACTAAATGTTCCACCATATGGATGTTATTAATATATTTTTCCTAGCCTAATTAGAAGCTGTAGAATATTTAAATTATTATTGTGCTTTGGGAATTTGAAAGATAAGGGCAAAGCAAATTCAGTATCTTTTTGTGGGAGGGCAAGGGATAGGAGGAGGAAAAACAGTAAACAGTAACCAAGAGGCAATAAAACATTATTGGTGCATGTTATACATGCAGTCAAATATTCATACTGTGGCACCCTGATTTCACCTGAATGTACAGCTTCAAACCACAGCTTCACCTCCTCCCTGATGGGCTCATCTGGAGGGATCACTTGTGGATCTGTCCTCCATGATGTGAGCTCAGAACAATGTTGCAGCGGCTGCTCCGTGAGAAGGGTAGATGCACAGAAAAGAAGTTCTAGACGCATTCACAGTTGCTGGCCCAAAGGGTTGACTATTCAAAAAGTACTTATCTTTTCAAACCTGGTCTAGTTGACCTCTAGAACTCCCCTCCCATTAGGATCAGAAAGCCTGCACTCTTACACTCAATTTTGTATTAATTTGCTAGGTGTCCTTGAGCATGGCCTGTCTCTCTGGGTCTTACTTTCTTCTTTCCTGCAAAAAGGCACAGGAAAGAAACAATGGCTATCACCCTTTCTCCTCTGACAGCCTCTATGCCTCCTCCACTTAGTCACATTTCCTCTCTTGCCAGTCTTTCCCTTCAGAGCACACTGTGTATTTATTAGAATCTAGCTGTTTATGGACACTTTCCCCTATTTGACTGCCATTCCCATAAATAAAAGCAACACATCTATTTGTTGACACAAACATATCCCCAGCACCAGAGTACTCACCAATTTGCAAGTGCACAATAAATAACCAATAACGTAATTGTTTTAAAATTATTCACTCACACTAAAATGGCATTCATTAAGAAGCCATTGTAGAGATAAGTTCCAATAGGTAAACTTCCCTAAAAATATTTAAGAGGAATATAGTTGCTAGCCCTCACTCAAAACCAATACTAGTGTGTTAATTCATGGCAACTGCTCACTTGAGTATGTCAACTATAACTGACAAGATTCACATTACCATTTAAGTAGAGAAAAGAATGGGGGGAAGGAAAGTCTTTGTTCTCCAAACTCACCAATTACCTTACAAAACTCACAATTTACACTTTATGTTGTAGAACTCTGGCATACAGAATTAGATTAAATACAATACTAGGTTTATGATGCCCTATTATTCCATGAATGTCCAGTGTAATGTTCAGTTATTGCAATAGTCTAATTAGCACCCATAAAGACACTATGCAAAGCAATATCAAATATTCATAAAAACCTACATCTAACTATTCAGTTCCAAACCTCTTGTCCAATCTCCCAGGTTTGGGCCCACCTCAGGAATCCATGTTGAATCTTTCATTACTCGCTTTTTTTTTCTTTTTTTGGTACCAGGGATTGAACTCAGGGTCACATAACCACTGAGCTGTACTCCCAGCCCCCACCCGACCCCTTTTTAAACATTTTTAGTTATAAATGGACACAATACCTTTATTTTATTTGTTCATTTTTTATGTGGTGCTCAGGATCGAACCCAGTGCCTCACATGTGCTAGGCTACAACTCCAGCACTCCCCAGATCTTTTATTCCCCCCCAAGCCCTTTCTTAATGTTTTATATTGAGAAAGGGTCTCACTAAGTCCTTAGGGCCTCACTAAATTTCTAAGATTGGTCTCAACCTTGCTATCCTCCTGCTTCAGCCTCCTGAGTGGTATGCGGGGTGGTAGTGTGCACCACCACCCTGGGAAAATCCTTCATTCTTTATGAGCTCTTACTTTAAAATTAGTTCATGAACTCACTTTACTAATACCAAAGATACACAAAAAACAACTTGCTTTAGGAATATTGAATCAATAGAATAATAGCATAAGTCAATTGTATAGCTAACCTTTTATATGTGGACAATGGTCTTTATTTTGTAATCGTATAGCATATGATACGTACCCCTAAGATCCTTACCCAACAAGCATTACCATTAAAAACAGTAGAGAAGTGAATACCATGGAATGATCATCTGAACACTTATGAAAACCAGGTATATAAAGGTATATCCTGTAAATGCCTATACACAGAAAAGTCTCCTAACACATAAGAGATGAAGCAGCAATTTAGAACCTAAGAAGGGGTGGGAGCTACTTAACAAAGCCCTCTGCCTTCATATTTTCACCAAAAGACCAAATGAGTAGCATGAAATCAGCAAGAAAGCATACAGAATCCCTAGGCCACAGCAAACAAGACTCCAAATCAATGGCACTGAGCAAATCAGAGCTGGAAATTAAAAGTTGAGTGATGGGGACTGGGGTTGTGGCTCAGCAGTAGTACGCTCACCTAGCAAATTCGAGGCCCTGGGTTTGATCCTCAGCATCACATAAAAATAAATAAATAAAGATATTGTGTCCAACTACAACTAAAAAAAATAAATATTTAAAAAAGTGATCAGTGATACAATAGCAAGATAAAAAGTATAGCACAGCTAGGCACAGAGGCACACATTCTTAAACCCAGCAGCCGGGGAAACTGAAGCATGAGGATCAAAAGTTCAAGGCCAGTCACAGCTACTAAGTGAGATCCTGTCTCAAAATAAAAAATAAAATGGGCTAAAAATGTAGCTCAATGGTACAGTGGTCTGGGTTCAAAACCTAGTACCCCCAGCATAAAAGTATGTCATAATATCTGTCTGAAAAACAGAAAGAGCTGTCAAAGTTTAAAGATTCTGGGGAAGATTTGAGTTAAGTGGAAACAGTCATGGAAGAAATGTCCCTCCCCTCTTGGTAACGAATCTTCAAGTAAAACAGTGGAGAAACATTCTCAAAAAATAAACGTAAATAAAACCATAATTGCATCAAATAGTACAAGATTTTTTTTTTTTATCAAGAAGCTTGTCCTGTGTTCAAAAAAGCAATGAACACCATATCCATTGTTAGGATTTACTGAATACCTTATTTAATTCTTCTTTGGTTAGAGATGCCAAGAGAGTCTTTCTGAATTTCCCTTCTTTGTATTTTTGAGTAATAAAGTTTTTTCTCTTTTCCACTGGTGAGTCCATGTGCAATTCTTCATCCTTTTGAAGGTTACCAGCCCAAAAGTCATTTGCTCTTTTGTTTCCAATGATGATAAAAAGCTTAAGTCAAAAAATAAATAAATAAAACATATCAGTTCATAAAATGTATTTGAATCTGCAAAAAAATTGGACTCAGATTATAAATTAAAGCATGACTTAGTATGAAATACAAGGGAACACACGCAAGACTCAACTCTTTCAAGAAGATGAAGTGTGAAAGCAGATACTCTATTTTTAAACCCTGCCTTGCTGCTCTGAATAATGGCAAAACGTCAGCTTCAAAAGAAACTGCAGGCAGCACACACTGCTGCAAAAGTCATTTTATTCTTTGAAACTCACACTAGGACGGAGCAGGTGGGCTAATGCCATCCTTTGTGAGCAGTTGTGGAGGAGGAGCAGAAAGTGGACAGAAGGGACAGCAGGTTAGATTGCACCACAGTCAGTGGCAGAGCCCGGCCAAGGTGAGGACATTTTGCCAAATGTCTTTATTCACGTTTTTCATATTTTACCATGTTGATTTAGATTTCTCCCTTTCACTACCATTAAAGCTCTTCCTACTATCTCATTTAGGAAGATTTCTGAAAGTCTTACAACTCTCAAACAGGCTATAAGCATAAGCCATTTTTATAAAGCAAGAACTTCATCAAAGAGGCTGTAAAGTAATTCACACCAGGCATTGCCTATCTATGTCTTCCCCAGTCTCTGCTCACCACCAGTTATGCAGGACTTACCTCAATGAGCTCGTTGCTCCAAATGCTGGCATCCATTTTTAGACTTCTAACCTTGGAGTCTTTTGGTCCCAAAGATCTATGTTGTCCTGAAGTCAACAACAATTCAATTTCTACTTTAGTTTGCACATGATTTTATTTTGTTTTCCCAAAAATGAGTATAAGTTTCCACACCTAAGTGTGTGTGTACATATCAAAACCAACCAGCACTTACTTTCTTATATGCCAACAGCACTGAGTAGTCGTAGTACTTACACACAGATCATAACCAAACACAATGAAGAAGACACAACAAAGATAATGGCAATCATCTTTATCACTGACCGCATTAATATAAAACTATATTATTAAAAGAATATGTATGCATGCATGTATGTGTTTCTCTGTGTATATACACACACGCACACATGCACACGCACACATACACACACTTGGTAATTAGCTAGAAATCACTGAAGACCTGTTTAAATGAGGCTGTTTGAATCCTATATATGTGAATATAGATATTATTCCTAATAACGTTTTTAAAAGCTACATCTCTAATAATAAAGTATTTAGAAATATGGATTCTTCATTCTACGATTACACCTGGAAGAGTGTAAGAGCCCAGCATTCTATTATCGTCAATTCAATTAGGCTTTATAGTCTAACTGGTGTCCACATACATATCAGATGCTAAGCTGAAAACGAAAAAAGTTACATGACCTTGAGCTTGATCTTAAGGACCCTTTTTCTTATGAGTAGTGAAAGTTCATTCCTCTCTCTTGTTAAGAGAGAGGTTCTTTTCCTCCTTTCTTTTTTTTTTTTTTTTTCTTGAAGGTGAAATCTTTTTAGAGCACAAAGCCCTAGAACTCCCATGATAGATAGATATCTGCATTGATTTGCATTTTTAAGAACTACCTAAAGGCAGTACTGAAAAAAAGAAAATACAGAGTTAAAAGAGACTGCTAGAAAAGCTGAGCCAAGAAAGGATAAGATCTAAATTGAGGCAGCAGGAGGAGAAGCAAAATGGACAGGACAGATTTAGAGATACCATGAAGATAAAACTGGTGGGCAACGGTGAGCTTTAAGAAAAGCAGAAGAGTCAAGAGGGCTTCTTAGGTTTGAGTGCAGGGCAGACAGTATTGCTTCACACCCATACAGGCAATTTATGAAAATGTGCAGCTTTAGGCAAGGGGCTGGAGCAGCAATATGGGCTCCAATTTTGTTGTGTTGTTGCTGAGGTGTTTTTGGCAAATCTAAGTAGAGATTCACTTAGGTAAATAAGTATGAGTTTGGTGTCCAACAGAATGAGAATCATCTGCCTATAGGTGAGTGATGAATTCAACCAAAAAAAAAAAAAAATCACACGGGAGCTCCCAAGTGAAAGAGAATTGAGGATGTAACCAAAGAGAATAAATATACTATAGGGGTGTGAAGAGGAGAAGTAGCCTGAGAAAGGATGACCAGCAGGCAGTACGCACACACTGAGACAGAAGGTACTGTGGAGGCTGGGGGAGGATGGAGATCAGAAAAGCATGTTGGACAAAGGTCTGGAATACTGCAGAGAASACAATGAAGTTAGTGGGGCAACACAGAAACTGAGAAGTAAAATACATTGGAATATATGGCCAAAACATATTTATTGGAATAAAGGAGGAAATAAAGGCGAATTATAGGATGCTGAAGGAATGCAAAGAAATTAAAAGAATAAAGAAAACGTGTGCAGGTTACCATGTGATCTGGAAAGTACCTCATCTTTGAAAAGTAAAGACACAGAATGGAACACATAGGACAGACTGAGAGTTTTCACAAAACCTGATCAGACTTATGCATGTTTCCATAATGGAGCAGAAGAAACCATGGCTAAATATTCAAGAGATTGAATCAGGAAGAGCTGAAGATCCTAACGAGGGAGGAAAGAAAGGCAGTGTGAGCAGAGCAGTGTGGGAGAACACAAAGCCATCTCTTCTAATGAGACTGAAGAGGAGAAAAGTACAGCACAGGGCTGATTAGATGTTTTTCAGTGCTGCAATTCAGGCTGCTAATTAACTGGTGAGGAAAGTTATCTTGGTATGATGAGGAAGGGACTAGAATAGAGCTCTAGAAAAGAATAAACACTCTAGGCAATTGATGTGGCTTTCCCTGCTCACTGTCCCTGCTCCAGCTAAGTCAGGACTGCTCTCCTGGATTCTGTCATTGAACCTGTGCTCAGGTCTAGTCCTGCATTACTGTACTCTTTACAGTTATTATTCACACATTCTTGGCAGAAATGTCAGGACTTCTATAAAATCCTTTTTATTCCCCACACCAGCATGGTACTGTTTATGCTTGGTGAATTGTGTGTGTAAAGTGGACAGTAGTGGGACACAGTCCCAGAAAACTGCAGTGAAGATTGGACTATGGCTAGTTTCTCTGACACATTGGGGTCCATTTCTCTCTGCTCACTTGCATAACTGAGCTCCCAAATACACTGAGATGCCATATGTATCTATACTGTTATACATAAAATTCTACATACTATCCTATTTTAACAGATACCAGATTCAGCACACAAAGCTTAAAGCATAGAACAACCTCAATGTGAAAAATGTCTTACAAAATATGGAAAAAAAGGAACAATCTTCCATGCAAAGATGCAAGTTTGCTCTGGGTATGTTCTAAAATCTAAAAATTTCAACACTGTGTTTTTAAAAATCTATACATGGACCAGGAGACACAAAATAGGAGTACATGCTTAAAAATCAATTTTTTACATCTGAGTCATGCATTAGAAAAGTTAAAATTCTATATTTCTGAATTGGACTAAAACTCAATAAGCTTTCTCTGTTTTCTTTCACCACCATTAGCTAGAACACATTACATATGACTACACAGCAGTCAGTGCCAATCTGCCACAGAGCAGTGATGAGCATGACTTGTCACTTATTACCTGCACACTTCTTACAGATGACAACACACAGGTTGATGGACGCCCAGTCAGGGTCTGGGGCTTTGCAATCTGCACAGCTCCTGTTGGACTCATTGAACCAAATCTTCTCTGCTACTTCATAATCAGAGAGCGTTTCTGCTATCGACTGCTGCACAGCTTCAATCCAGTCTTGTTTCTCTTTTTCGGACTCGGCTGTAAAGCTGAAATAATCAACATTTCGGCATTATCCATCTCCCTCGTAAAGGCCAATGAAGCAGTATGCTCAGTTTGCATATTAATTTCAGTCACAAATTAAACAGCAGCTTAAAATTATGCCCGCCAGGCAGTTCTGGATTGTCTTTTCTGTTAAAAATCATCTAACTTAACAAATCAGCTTCTTACTTTTTAATTTTCCATGTTGTTTATGACTTTGTTTACATATCTTAAAACAAAACTAACATACACATTTTTCTCACCATAATATAAAAAATTACTTTGTGATGGTCAAAAGCTTAAATGAGAGGCCACATTTCCTAAACTATGATTATATAATAATCAATGAGAAATTGGCCAAGTTTCAGGACTACTGAAATATTTTACCAAGCAAGTATGCCATAACAGTTCAGAGCTAAAATTATCAAAAACACCCACCAGAAATTATGATTTTTTTCATATTTAAAAAATAGATTTTTTTTTAAATTAGAAGAATATCCAGATGGCTTAAAGAGATTGAGAAACCAGGAAAGTTTTAAGTGGTACTATTCTAACGAATTTCTAACTCATATTTAGTCATGTTCTGACTTTTTCTGGTTCTTGGTATTTATTATGCCTCTGACTGAGGAATGAAACATTAAATAGTAGTTCAATCCTTCAAAAAAGATTTTCTGATTCCCTTTAGTGTGCCAAGGAATGTGCTACATATACAACTAATGAGCAACAAAATAATTCATCACATTAAAATTTTGCTCTCAAAATTAAAATGCTTTGAATTACAATGAAAATAATAGATGATTAAAATATTCTAAATAATCTATAAAAATAATCAGTGGCCTACATGGCTATATTTTCTGAAGCACTCCATGATTCAATCATAACAATTAACAAAATTCCTAGCTTACAAGTTCTACTAGATACTGGTCATAGCCAGTATGTACATTTTAATTTGAGGCTAGAGTCTGGAATTATGGTGGGGAGGGGTATCAAACCCAGATCACTATTTGATCTTTTGGCTAAGGTCAAGAGACGACAAAACCCAGGGTTTCTCACACAATAGGCAAGAGCTCTATCATTGAGCTATGGGTACCAACCCTAGCTTGCTGTTCTTTATTTAATCATTTCTTTCTCCAATGTTGAGATAGTGGTCAAATTCTGACAGACAAGTGCATAACAGAGTTAGTGGCATCTTTGAAACTGTCAAGTGATTCTTAGTCCTTCAAAAGCAGAGAACAATTACTTCTGATCGGCACATTACCCTGGAGTATGTTGATTATTTGAGACAAATGAATCAATGTAGTTGAACTCAAAGACACTAACTTCAGTCTACTACATTTACTAAATCTATGGAGTCTTTATATATTATTAAAACTCATTAAGTAATTTAAATTAATTGTCATAATGCAATTACTAGACTATCACAATATATAAATATATATCAAAATGCTAAAATATTTGGATCAATAAGTGGAAGTGATCCATTAAAATCAGTATCCTCTTGAGCTCTCCCTGGACAAAAAGTGCATGGAGCAACTGTGCTTTCAATCAGGAATCAATCTTCAAAGAGGTGTCTGATAAGCAAAAGGAAGGTAAGCAATACAATTTAAAGCAATGTAATATGCTTTTTTGTTTTTTTCCATCCAAAATGTGAAGAAATTTGTGAAATATTTATTAATAAAATTTAACATACCCACCACTACTACCAAGAAAAAAAGAGACATTAAAAGAAAAAATGCAAATTTTTTTTTTAAAAAGAAAGAGAGAGAGAGAGAGAGAGAGAGAGAATTTTTAATATTTATTTTTCAGTTTTTTTTAGCGGACACAACATCTTTGTTTATATGTGGTGTTGAGGATCGAACCCAGGCCGCACGCATGCCAGGCGAGTGCGCTACCGCTTGAGCCACATCCCTAGCCCAACAATGCAAATTTTATGAAATAAGTATCTTTGCAAGTTGCCTGATTATTCAGGTCACTTTTAAAAAATGTTTACTGTAGGCTGGCTAGTAAGTCAGGCAATATGGAAAGGTTAGAAAACAATTTTAAATATTCGATAAGAGATGAAATCACCACTAGCATTATAAAGATGTATCACCCAAACTTTCTTGTAGTAGTATAAAATTAAAAAATATTTAAAGACACCTTACCTGAAACTCCTATAGGGGGTAATTATTTCAAAAGACTGTTTCACAGTTCGGTCCACTTGCTTTACATTCGCTACATTCATAGGAATTACAGTAATACCAAGTCCACTCTTAAAATCCTAGTGTGGAGAAAAAATATAAAAAATTATAAACAAACACACACACAAACTCTGGATTCTGAAAATACAATCTTTTTTTCTAAGATTCAATAACTTCTACAAATTTTACTATATGTATAAGGAATTAAATATATCCAATTAGAAAATGGATTGAGTTTTCCTTTTTTTTCCTTTTCTGGTAGTCACTTTCAATATAATAACACCACTGTGCCATTCTAAGCTTGGCATCTGGTCTATTGATAAAGTATGGGTGTCTTTCACATAAAAGGTAAGTTGAGAGTAGGCCACAGACACTAACATATACCTTGCTTTTGAAAGTAGTCACTACATTTACCTTTATCCATTCTGTAAAGGAAATTAATAATTAATAACCCTCACCATGTTTTAAGTATTTTTCTAGGGGGGGAGGGCCAAAGGACAGTGTGAAATTAGCACAAGTACTATTTATATGAAAAGATGGAGAAACTGAGGCTCAAAGAGAGAAGGTAGAAAGGGCAGCTGATTGTACATGTGGAAACGAACTGAAGCTCAGGCTGCCTGACTGTCCTTTGTTTTACTACATTGGATTATCTCTGCCGGGCCACATTATTTTTCTCCTCATTTACTCCCAAACAAAGGCATTACCTGTTTTATGAAGTATACAGTTTTATCTCACATTCGATATTTTATTGTTTTCTTCTTCCTTCAATCAAATTCTTTAAAAAGCTTGTCTAATGCTACTGTGGTATGAAAATTACCATTTTTCAACATCTACATCTACTGTATTCTGCTAGTCTCACAAAAAATTACAGAATTATTCAAAAGGTTACAAAGAGACTGCATTATAAAAGCACTAAATTTGTAACATATTACCTGCTCGTATGGGTTTTGGAATTTGATTTATCAAATAAATAATCTCAACACTTTATAAAATATAATCTGTGCCTCAAAGGAGGAATTATCTATGTGAACAGATTTAGATTAAATGTGCTCTGAAAAATATTGGTTCATATTCAGTAAGGACACTTAGCAAAGACTATTTAGAAAGATTAATTGAATGAAGCAATTCAAAGACCTCTTCTCTTTGTCACGCTTGTTACATGAAAGAAAAGTAAAAAACTATTTTCCCATCTCTCTTATACCTATGAAAGGCCATAGGTTTGGTCAATACAATATAAATAACTGGTGGTGGGGGTGGGCAGGCAGACACATCTTAGAAGATGAAAGCCTTTCACCCCCCACATTTCCATCCTCTTGGGAAATGACACCTGAAAACATAAAGACATGTTAGAACTTCAGATTCCTTGAAAGGAGAAGCCTCAGGACAAATATTTGTGACTGGAAGATGTCAGAATGTGGAAAAACCAGGAGGACCCCGTCCAGTCCCCAGATAGCATTAAAACTCTCTGGCGTGCTTCAAGAGACTGGTTAACAGGCTGCGGGTGTAGCTCAGTGTTAGAGCATGGCATGCCGGAGGCCCAGGATTCAAACCTCAGCAATATTTCCCCCCAAAAAGATTGGTTAAAACAGATCCTTATCTTTTCAAGTTGTCTGTTAGGATTTTGTGTTTAATATGAATCCATTCTTGAATGATAAGTAAAAATCAAGTAAGTTTAAATCAAATTTTCCCCTACATGTAAAGATTGAATTCAGAGTTTTTAGTCACAAATCGTAGAAGGCTTTTTTTTTTTTAAAAAAAAAAAAAAAGTACCGATTTTCAGTTAGAATAAGAATATATTTTATTTAGAAAAGAAGTCATCAATTGAAGTTTTTTGACAAAAGAACAAATGGCTCATCTTATTAGGAAAAGAAGGCAGAAACAGAATCAGTAATACAAAAGCAAAGATGCAGAGGAATGCTAAGTGTTGTAAAATAATTAGAATGGGAATAACAGTTCTACTTTGTATATTTAGCCCACTGAATAAAAAAGAGTACATAATACACTGTATATGGAGAAAAGAGAAGTGAAGTTTTTCCAATCAGCCACATTTAAAAAGCTACATCATTATCAGCACAGGGTTTTATGTACATATTAAATTGAAAACACACACACACATACACGTTCCCTATCACCCATACTAAAGCTTCTGCTGCATAATACAACTGCTGCATAAATTCCCAATGCTTGTGCCTGGAAACTGAAGCCCTTTTTTATAAAGAGGAAAGTGAGGAGTACCAAAATCAGAGTTTTTAAAGTAGCTTTATGATGGCTCACTTTGGTACAGAGATAAACCCTAGAATAAAATAGTATACTTGGATTGTACATTCTTCAAACAATTCTCCATGATGAGGCTTTTGACATGAGCTGGATATCTGACAGCTCCAGATTATATTCTCGGATGGGGCCCTGACCTGCAAGTACTCTATGTTGCTAAGGGCAGAAACACATAATAATCTGACCATTAGACTAGCAGATGGTGAGAATGACAACCTTTTATGGAAAGTGATGAGCCTCATCAAGGCTCCTGCCTGAATAGATGGCCCTGCACCTCTACAAACGAGTCATGAAATTTCTGCATCTAAAACTGTGATTTCTGTGGAAGTAAAAGAGGACAGGCTCCATGCTCCAAATTTCTCCCAAGCAAGGCAAGGTTGATTTTCTTTTAGCTTGGAAAATTGTAACCCATTTATCAGCTACTTGCCATGGCCATATGGTTTTGAGTAATTAGAGTATCCACGAAGCTCACCAGCACAAATTGACTGTAAAATATACTCCAGAGTAACAAAATAAATGTCAGTGCTTCTGAAAGCTATTAAATAAGAAACAACTGCACTTCCCATTAAAAATATTTTTGGTAACATTAAGCCATTTTTCTCAAACAGTATTTCAAACATATTGAGAATATTTCTCATTACTAAATGCTCATCAAAATTATCTGTGGTGATCTCTCCTTCCCACTTGAGATATTATTCTATGCATCCAAAGGCAGAACCTAAGAATCTTTAATTTACAAAAACAAAACTACAATCCCAGGGGCTGGGATCGTAGCTCAGTGGTAGAGCATTTGCCTCAAAAGCCTGAGGCACTGGGTTCGATCCTCAGCACCACATAAAAATAAATAAATAAAAATGTTGTGTCCATCTACAACTAAAAAATTAAAATAAAAAAACTACAACCCAAGATCCTCATATGTGGTCAATACTGAGAAACACTGAATTAGATGGCAGAACTAGTTACAGAATTTAGACCCTATGATTCTTCAATACTTCAATATCATGACATAAAACATTTCTCTCAAGCTTTGTATTGAATGAAAAAAAACCATGCCTTCAGTGTATACAAAAGCCATGTGACATTATTAAGACCACTGGTTAAGAATAAGCCTGCCAGAACACAATGACATGCTGGCCCATAAGGATCCTAATTGTTCCGAGTGCCAAATCCAGTGCTAATATTTCAGAGGTTTTAAAAGCATCTTCATTGCACTCCATAATTGCCTCAGTATCTATTTAGGTAGCGCTCTGAAGTTTATAAACAGCCATGAGCTCTCATTTGATTTTCTGAATTATTGTATGAACCAGGGAGAGATGATACTGCCATTTTTTAAATGGGAAAATTAGTTCTGGCAAAGCAGTGTTTGTTAAGTACCTAGAGTGCGCCAGATATTTTGCTAAGTCCTATATCTGCACAAAAGTAGAAGCAAGGTACTTGCCTTGGGGAAACTTAAGAGTCTGGGAGGGAATAAGAGGGAGTTGTTATACATGTAATGAAAGAAAACTGTCTGTCATAGGCTAAGCACTGAATCCAATCCAAAAGAGAGACTTGTGTCATAAAAAGGCTTTCCAAAGGAAAAAGAACAAAACTCAGGCCAGATTATATTCAGGTGTCTCTCTCTCGATTTCAGTTCACATGTTCAAAATTAGGGATGATAATGATACCTGCAGCATCCCCTCAGTGAGGATAATATTAATGCAGTAAAAATGCTTAGAAGAATACAAGGCACATGGTGCATCTCACATGTCTAGTTTATTATTATCACTGTTATTTTCTACATCTTAAATTTAAAACCAACCAAACATCTTACCTATTAAAAAGTTCATTACAAGAAAACACAAGGTCAGAGACAACTACCTGACATAAATGCATTTTTTTAAAAATGGAATGAAATGTGAATGTTAAATGTTCATGAAAATTAAAAATAAATTACCCATTAACTAGGAGCAGATTGTGAACTCTAGTCTCATTTTGAAAAATAAGCACAAATCAAGAATGAGCCAAACAGTCAACCTTTAAAATGCTATGAACTGGAATGAAAAAAACAGCACGTAAATTTTGCAGGTAAAACTGTATTATTGTAGAAAGTAAGAACTAAAAACATATTGTAGAGTAAGCATTAGTTCACATTTCCTTTTCTGTGACAGAATGCAGGATCTCAAAAAGCATGGATCCCACCACCAGCAAAATGACAAGCACATGTGGCTTAGCAGATCTGGGCACTGAAATGGTGGCAGTAACCAAGTGGGCAATGGGGTGTGGCGGGGAGACCTAAGGGACAATCTTGGCTGATCCACTTAAGAGCAAAAGACCATTGACAAGTTATGTAGGTTATCTTGACCTCAATTTCCTCATTTATGAAAATGGAGTAATATCTACCTAACAGAGCATTGTTACAAAAGTAAATGAGGGCTGGGATGTAGCACAGTGGTAAAGTAATTGTCTACGTGTATGAGGATGTGGGTTCAATCCCCAGCACTGTGCAAAAAAAAAAAAGGTAAATGAATAAGTAAAAACTTAAAAACTAAAATATCTTGACAACTCTTTTATTTGAAAGTTCTAAATGTAGAATTTATCTTCAATAAAAATATTTACATTTTATTTATAATGGACTGAAAGTATTTACAGCAATTATTCCATACTAAATATTCAGATAGTATTCATAGTAAATATTTATCAAGATACTCAGATGAGTTATTTATATAAATCTGTGGCAACAGAATATGGCTAAAATTACGCTTTAAAACTACATACTACAAGGACAAAAATGAAAGTTTGATTACTAAACAGAAAAATTTAGGAAGCA